AGGTTGCTGTGAGCTGTAATGCCATGACACTCTACCCAGGGTGACAGGTTGAGGCTCTGTCTCAAAAAAAAAAAAAAAGAAAGAAACTGGAACTGTGTTTCATTTCCTTAAGATATTGACATGCCTGTAACTACCAAGCTACTTCCCACCCAGAGCCTGGGGTCTGGCTCTCTAGCTGCCCCTTACACTCTTCTTGGAGCTAGTGGCATGTTCTGGAGCCTGGGCCCTCCACCTAGAGCCTTCTTCTAGTTCCCAGGCATTGATTGCTGCATGCTTCCAGACCTCCTAGGTGCTCTTCCCAAGCCACAGGGATCTTCTGGCAGTTAAAACACCTTTTCTCAGTGGGAATAAGACAGAGCCATTGCCCTTGCCAAGCAGTAGGGTCTTCCTATGGCTGTCTGCTCCCATCCCCGAACCCAGTCTGCTGGCTCTTCTTTCTCCCACTCCCCTCTGCTGGGTTTGCCCTTCTGAGCTTGTGGCCTGGCAGAACATTTACTTTCTGGGCTCCAGTAACTCAGCATACAAGTCCAAACCAAGGTATTTGCTAGAGGAGATGCTTTCTTAGATGGCTTTTCTGTCAGGTTTCAAATAAATATTAATTAGCATGTGCAAAGGACTCCGTAGAGATGAGTTTACAACTGGTCAACTTTGGCTCTGGGCAAACAGAGTTAACCTTTGCCACTCTATAAAAGTACTGTTTTAGTAAGGTGAGTGAGTGTACGTCAAGGCATTTTGTTGAAATAGCCATCGCAATCACTGATTAAGAACAGTGATTCATATCAACCCTGGAAAGAAATGAAAATAAGTTTTAAGAGTGATTTGGATTTTGATTATTTCTGTGACTCTTGTTCTTTTTACCTAGATGATATGGAAGAAAAATGTTTCAAGTTGCTAATCAAGAACTCAGTCTTTCCATCATCTGGCTACGGTTTGCCTCATGATTATGATTCCTCATCACAAAGTACTGAGAAGGTCTTCATCGAGCTCTCAGTGATAGAGTTACAAAGAAAAGCCATTCCCACTGCAGTTCAGATTCCCTGTAGTTCAGATCAAATGTCAGCTGAGTAGTTTTAATGCAGCTTTCTTAACATCCTGTTACAGGACACCATAAAATGGTGGCACTCCAGAGAGTGGCCTTGCAACAATCATAAATCAGATTTATCTAAAAATATTAAGAAATTAAACCAGGCAAATATACTCCTCCTCATTGTGTAAACTTAAGAATTTTTTGATAATGACTCAAGGTGTCAACTGAGATTTCAGAATAAAACACTGGTTTCCAGATGTCCTACTTATAATAATATTCTATTATGTACAGGCCAATTTAATGGAAACTTTTAATGAGACTTTGTTTTTAAAGAAAACCTCTTTATAACTTGCCACAAAGTCAGCTAGCACTGGTATCACTTTTGTCATATTTTTGGCACTATTTGTTTTCTTGGAACAGAATAAATATGCAGAACTTGGACTAGTCTGACCTGGATAGATAACAGCCTCCAGTTATAAGCTCAAAGTAGTCAAAATTATGATGCTCCCAGGGCACAGTGGAGTGAGTGTACTCTATAAAAAGGAAAAATTCCATTGCTTTCCCCCCACCCAAGCAATTCTTATTTTGTAAAACCTCCTGTTCCTGAAGAGGGATATTTAAGAGCTGGAATCTTATAATAATTCAAAACTATCACAACAGATGCCGTCTCTGGAAGCCACAGCACTTGCTCCCTGACTGGAGGGTGGGTCCTCACAAATACCAGGCCGTCCACTTTGACCAGGTTATCCTCACTCTTCAGGAATGAAAACCAGCTGTGTGTTGTGGCTACTGTTGCGATATCAGTTTACTCTTTAACTTCTGGGCTCTAACGTCATCACATGACTCATTTTAGGTGTAAATGGGCACAACTCATGCAATATTTAAAATGTAATCTCTTATATCAACTTGGCTTTTTACAAATAGCACTTTAGGTATATAAATAATAAAATATGTCACAAATACACTTGTTAAAGTGCCAGAAGGTT